GCTCAGCGGCCATGGCTCACGGGCCCAGCCGCTCCGCGGCATGTGGGATCTTCCCGGACCGGGGCACGAACCCGTGTCCCCTGCATGGGCAGGCGGACTCTCAACCACTGCGCCACCAGGAAAGCCCCCTTTTACACTTTAAAACGTATTCTTCCTCCACATTTCTCATTACATCACCCTTCTCCCAGTTATCCAGGTCATGTCAGGGCTTCTCTGTCAATCTCCCTCTCAACATCCCTTTGCCCAAATCCAGTCATTATATCCCATAAGAATCTACTCCCCAAATATCTCTGGAACCTTGTTTCTTTCTCCATCTCCAATAACTCCTTAATTTTGGCCCTTATCATTTCTCACCCAGATAAATTTAAGCACCTTCTAATGGTCTTCTTTGCCTCTAGTCCCATCCTCATTGCAAACTGATGCTCTACATGCTGCTAGCATGCTAGCATTTTCAAAGCATTAAAATCCTTCCACTTGATCAAGTATGAATAAAAATAAAGGTTACCATTTGCTAGGCACCTATTCTATGTCAGGCATTATCTCATTTATCATTATAAAGTGGGTATCATATTTATTTTATAGATGAGGTACCGAAGTTCAGAAAGCGGTAATGTACCCAAATTCACATAGCTAATAAGTGGACAAGCCAAGATTCAATTTCAGGGCCTTTCAATTGCAAAGTCCTTGCTTTTAATCAATACATCATTCTGCCTAAACTCTTAAACATGGTGCATGAAGTTCTAAATGAGCTGACCTTAACCTACTCCCCAGCTTGATCTCCTGTCCCTCTGTTCCACTTAGCCATAGCAGATACTGGCTATCCATTCTCTCCTTATCCCTTACTAATAATCTCTATTTTCTTCAGGATGGCAATATGCTCAGCTAAAAACTAATTTTCCTGGCTTTCCTTGAAGCTGAGATTACCATTCATATAGTTCCGACAAAAGAGATACTAAGTGGAAACCTCTGGATGGAGTTTCTGGGAAAGCTCTTTAAAAGGGGTCAAAGTAAGCTGGCATATACAAATTTTGCCCTCTTCTACTCCACCTTCTTCCTTCCTGGAAAACAGGGCTGTAGGTGGATCAGCCTTCTAAAAGCCATGAGATAAGACACGTGAGCATGAAAGTCCCATACCTCAGAAGACAGGATATGAAATTAGGAGCCCAGGTCTGTGATGGCATCACCCACCTCAGAACTGCGGATCTATGGACTGGTACGTGTATTTGCCATGTGTTCCTATTCATAGTTAATCACTGTCGTAACTGACACACACCCTAAGTTGAGGCCTGACTGATCAACTTGCGATGTCCTCAATATACCATGATTTGGCACAGTTCTACAGAGGTAGGCCTGCAATTAAGATATATGTGTGGGGCTTCCCTGGTGGCGCAGTGGTTGAGAGTCCACCTGCCGATGCAGGGGACACAGGTTCGTGCCCCGGCCCGGGAAGATCCCACATGCCACGGAGCAGCTGGGCCCGTGAGCTATGGCCGCTGAGCCTGAGCGTAAGATACATGTGTAATTCAGTCTCTAACTTTAAAAGAAAAGTAGGCATACCCCAGCTTTAATGAGAGAAGTTTTAAACAGTTTCTCTGTTTTATACATTCAGCATTTTACAAGTTTTGTTTGAAGGGTTCTACCTCAAAAATGGATTGAAAACCACTGGTCTATGGCACAGTTTAACTATCATTGAAATTTCTCAACGTTCTATGCTTTGTTTGTATCAGGTCAAATGACCACAAATCTCAAACATATCCACTCTGTAAAGTTTAATTTTGGAACTATGCTGAAATACTATTCTTTCAGCTTTCACTCAGAGATAATATGTGAAATAGTGTCTGAATACTTATGAAATTGGCATATAGGATATTGTGTATCATGTGGCCTTTTATACAAAGGTTCTGGTGGTATATTCCCCAAACCACTCAGAGCCAGGAAAAAGTTCGTTTTTCTCTGAGGAACTGACATGTTCACTAGCACTAGTATGTGAGCCATGTAGCCCACTATGTTTTCTTTTTATTCTTAACAGCTAATTAGTTAAGTTTTTTGTTCAATATCTGTGGCTTTCCTTGGCTAACACTTTTATACTTTTTAGAGCCTATCTTTTAATATTTTAGTTAATTGTTTTGTTTATTATGCCAATATATTTATTGAAAAGCTGTCCAAAATTATTTAGAAGCAAGTTATTTTTTAAAAATCATACTTTAAAGGGAAAAGAAATATAACTCTTCTAAGACCGACAAGACCCACTATATGCAGAGTGCCTTAGATTAATCAATCTTTATTGCAGTGTTATTTTCTATCCAAGTTACTGTAATAAAATTAAAGGTGTGTTGTGAGAGACAGTCCTCTAAGGTGCCTGCATGTTGTTGCCAAGAATGCAAGGTCTTGACCACTCTTTAAAACTGGGCCATTTCTCAGGATTGCAGTGAGCAACCTTGATGGATGAGGTGACATTTCCTTCCAGACAAAGAGCGGCTTTGCTTTCATTTACTATAAAAGCACTGGGTTGCCTAAGCCGTGACACAACCCCCACCATACGTATAAGATTCAACTGGGCCCCTCCGTGTTGCCCCTGTGGGACTTGGGAGACATGGGGAGCCAATGCCAACATGATGTTTATGCTATGTGCTATGCTATAGTAATAAAATCTCTGACCTAGGAGTCTCACGTCTCCTACCAGCAACATAATAGTAACAGTAGGTATGTGTACTCCCAGACCCTGACAAGGTGTTGATTCAAAAGAAATTAGTTGATCATTCAAAGTTCGAAAGTAGGCTTGAATTAAATGCTTTGTAACTCAGAAGAATTCCTACAGAAATATCATTAATGAAGATGACAGAGAAAGGCCAATTAAAATAACTGTTTAAAACAAAAGAATGTCCTCAAAGGGACCATTAAAGAACTGGTGAGGTTTTGACATTTTACAGATGAAAATTCTTTTTTGTTGTTTCTATATATCAAAAACATTGAGGAGATTCAAATTGTTTAAAATAAAGAGGCCAGGCACATTATCATTCTATAATTTTACTTTTAAAAGGAGAAAATTACAGGCAATGACTAGGCCAAAAACAATGAATCAAATAAGAGAAGACGGGAAAATATGATAAACTGAATTATGCAGGACAACTGAGCATTCTCCATGCCTTGTAAGGCTCTACTTTAAACATAAACCACAACACTACAAATGTTAAAAACAAAAAATAATTTTCTTAGAAAGTGAAAAAAACTCATGCTGTAGGTACTAAAGGTATAACGTGTTAATAAGTGATATATTTTGGAATAAACATTGAAATAAACTATAGTTGCATTCAATTTAAGTATCTCCACATAAAAACTCAACAACCTATTTTATTTGCAAATAAATGATGAAAACTAATTCCTTTCTAGATAAGGAAATTTCTGACGTTATTCAGCAACTAAGCATACCCCACCCTTCTGCAACTCTCAACTACCACTAACAAAAAATAGCGCCCAACAGGTGACTACTCAGAATCATAAGCAATTCAAATGTCACTAATTCAGAAAACTAAGTGAGAAATAGGTGGTAGCAAAGGGTCCAGAAAACTCAAGGCTCTGTACTCAAGGAGTGAAAGCTTCAACATTAAAGAAAAAGGACATTTCCCTAGAAACATTATATATTTTAAATACAAATTCACAAGTAAATACAAAGTAAGACAGCAGATGGGAGGAACACAATGAAAGGAGCTGACACAAACGAAAGAAGAGTTATAAAAAGCAGGGAAGAATAATTACAAAAGTACAGCTGTGTGCAATCATTTAGACAAAGAAACAAGGTAAAATGCCAACCATGGTATCACTGCTTTTGAACACAGCACATCGTCAAAGGCATTCATCATTTTATATATAGCCATCATTTTATACACAAGGGAAATGTGGATGAAGTCGTTAAATGAATGCCTTAACCAAGACTGTACAAGGTGCGGGAGAACAGGAATTTTATTTATTTATTTTTAAAAATGTAATGGTATTTTATTTTAGCTATTTTATAATCACTAAGAAAATGTTAGAAAATTGTTCTCATAAAATGCCAAAATGACATCCTTGTCCTTCCATTGATTGGAAAAAAATCACAATAATTCAATAAATATATATTTGACAATTTGCTATTTTGTCAGCAAACATTCCATATTTATGTATTTCATTTACCCAAAATTATAAATCTAATTTTGGAAAAGTAAAATATCATTTAGTTCTAATGCTTATACATATGAAATAATCTATAAGATAAAATATATTTAAGATTAAAAATCTTCCTAGTGATAAAGGAATAAGTTAATCAAGTTTAGGTTAAAAAAAAGAATGTATTCTACCAAATATCCAAACATGTGTTTGGGCAAAAAGTGATTTTGAGGGGTAAATAAAAATACCTTCCACATAAAACTAAAACTGAGGATATTTTCACTACTGAAATAAAGTTCCCTTTTTGGCAGTATAAACTTCATTCATGTTTAAGAAAAATTTTGTCAAATATCTTAAAATATTTTTCAGACTATTTAAAACTTTAAAAATATTTTCCATCAGGTAAATGATATGCCTTAGTATACATCTTGTGAACAAGATAGCTGGGGTTTGGTGAAGGTCATTTCGAATACTGGAAGCAAATTTAGGGCAAATGGTCCATGGCATTGGGACCTTATCTTACCATCAAGGATTCCTTTATATTTCTTCACTCCCTCTTGGGCCTATTGTTTTAAAAGAGTTTGCATGTATTAATTTATTAATTAAAATGGTCAAAGGAAGATATTAAAATGAAACTCTCAAAGCTTCTAAAAATCACAGAAAACATGGAATAAGCAGTGCTACTCCAGTGTGCTGATAAAATACAGAAAAAGCAGAGACTAAATGTTTAACCTAGCCATTGTTCAACAGATCAACAGAGGTAATGAGAACATTTTATTCAGAGTTCAATAAAACACTATGAATGCAAATTAGTAAAAGGACGGCATTCTAAAATTGAGTTAATAAAGGGTATTCACCACATGGGTTGATTGTAGAGCTAAGTGAAGCAGCTCCAGTGGAAAGGCCGCCTTTTGAAACTGATGAAGCCACAGAAGGTATAGAAGATGAAGTCGGTGTAGCAGAGGAGGCTGTTGAGGATGGTAACCGTTCTCCAGACTCCATATCTATGGGAGGGAGACAAATGTTAATTTACAGTATTAAATAGTGGAATTAAGCAAAAGAATTAAACATATTTAAAATAAGTCAAACTTTTAGGAATACTTTTTTAAAATATGAAATAAGTTTAGAAATACATGTTCTTCTGAGAGATAAAATATGAAATAAAAATAATATAATTTAAAATACTAGTTTATGAAATAAGTTTAATGTTAAGTATACCAAATCTTCTTCTAATAGACTTGAAGAATATTCTTATATAAAAAAATAATAGGGCTTCCCTGGTGGCGCAGTGGTTGAGAGACCACCTGGCGATGCAGGGGACACGGGTTCGTGCCCCGGTCCGGGAAGACACCACATGCCGCGGAGCGGCTGGGCCCGTGAGCCATGGCCACTGAGCCTGCACGTCCGGAGCCTGTGCTCCACAACGGGAGAGGCCCGCATACCACAAATAATAATAATAATAATAATAATAATAATAATAATAATAATAATAATAATAGTCATTTGAATACAGTAACTTCATACAACTGTGTGTTGCCATAACTTTAGGGAAATTAGCATATTAACTTCTTATTCTTCTTAAATCACCTCATGATCTATTCACTTACATCATAATACCCATATTATCTTAATGAATCAAGAAGATACTTCCACATCTGAGTGAACTGTAACCCTGTCTTCTAAATCCAGATAGCAATATGGTTATAGGTCTTAAACATCCATGAATCTGACCTGGTAATCCCCAATACAGTGAGTCCCGCCCAAAATAGACAAATACATTTTAGAGTTTATACTAGAGTCTAGTCTGAACTATGGTCTCAAAATGGCTTTAGTATGATCTATTTATAATGACTTAACCACTTCTAAGCATCTGTATTAATTTGCTTAGCTATTTTGGGTACAACCTTACATTGGTCTTATTGTAATAGTTTATGTTGATATGAAAAATCTAGAACGGAAATGGATGAAGGAGTCAAAAGGTACAAACTTCCAATTATAAAACAAGTAAGTCATAGGATGTAATGGGCCGCATGGTGACCATTGTTAATAATACTTTATTGTACATTTGAAAGTTGCTAAGAGAGTAGATCTTAAAAGTTTTCATCACAAGGAAAACAATTTGTAACTGTGTGGTGATGGATATTAACTTTTTGTGGTGTTCATTCACAATACATACAAATATCGAATCATTATGTTGTACACCTGAAACTAATATAATGTTATATGTCAATTATATCTCAAATTTATTTTTTTTTTAAATTTTTTTGCGGTACGCGGGCCTCTCACTGTTGTGGCCTCTCCCCTTGCGGAGCACAAATCCACCCTAGCCTTTGCTACTCTAGAATGAAGATTGTTTTATGCTTGCATTAACAAGGATTGGCTTTTCAAGTTTTTCTTTTTAAGTTAAATATTATTGAATTCAGATTTTATTTACTATTGTTCCCTGTTAAGCTTAACTCTGGAAAGAATCCTAGCCACCAACTTGAAAGTTAAAAGGTAGGAAGGCAATGCCTTTGGAACAGTGAATAATTCACAAAACAATCATTGGCTTGCCATATTGTAAGAACTATTCAAAGGAGAAAGTTTAAAATACATGTGCACCAAAGGATGCTAAAAGCAGTAGGTGAAAGTCTGAGTAGAAACACGGTATTTGCATAGTCTCAAAGTATCTCCTTTAAGATGTTTACTAATTAAAAAGGGCAAACACCACAGTGGAGAAACTATATCACCAATAATAAAACATATCGATATCATGTATCCTGTGATGTGCTTAGAAGAGCATATCACCTCTGGTATTCTTCCCAATAACATATAACGTCCGTTGAATCATGAGAAAACATCAGACAAACCCAAACTGAGAGACCATATACAAAATAATTGACTAGTATTCATCAAGTATCAAGGTCATGAAAGAAAAGGAAAGACTGAGGAACTGCCATAGGTTGAAGACTAAGGAGATACAACAACTAAATAATGTGGGATCAGATTGGATTTTGGAACAGAAGAAGGATATTAATGGAAAAACTGGTAAAATTCATAAAAGATATGTAGTTTATGGTTAATAGTATTGTACCAATGTAAATTTTCTGATTTTTTAATTTTAATAATTGCACTATGGTTATATAAATTAATAACATTAGGGAAAGCTGGGTAAAAAATATAGGTGAATACTATGTATTTGCTTTTTAACTGTCTTTTAAGTCTAAAATTATTACAAAATAAAAAGTAAAGAAAAGAAAAAACAAAGTCTGGCATACAGTAAGCACTTAAATATATATATATAATATATATATATGTATGCATTGGGATTGAAGAGTGTAAACTTAGACCTTGAAGAAATAAAGAAAGAGATTACATTGTATCAGCAACACACTTGATAACAGATGTTATCTGGGTTTAAAAACTGTATCTGAACCTTATTAGCTATGACCTTATAAATTATGTAACTTCAGTGAACTTCCAGTTTCCTCATGAGTAGTATGAAGGTATAGCTGGGAAGATTAAATGAGATAATGCATATAAAGTTCTGAATACCTAGCATTCAATAATTGTCAGCAATTGTTTTTAATAAGTGAATGTCTGTGCATATAATTATCCACGGGTATATGTGGCAGTAAAAGGTGTTTTTAGATTATTCATTTCAAGTAAATATTTCTGAGTCACATCTATTTATAGGTTATATGTATATGCACAGCATGTTTGACATTTTTTACCCAGATAAATTATGACAAGAATTTAAAATAGGGAGATTGGGATTGACACATATACACTATTGATACTATGTATAAAATAGATAACTATTGGAAACATACTGTATACCACAGGGAACTCTAATGCACTGTGGTGTCCTAAATGGGAGGGAAATCCAAAAGGGAGGGGATACATGTATATGTATGGCTGATTCATTTTGCTGTGCAGTAGAAGCTAACACAACACTGTAAAGCAACTGTACTCAAATAAAAATTTAAAAATAAAGAATTTAAAATAAATGCCTCGGGACTTTGCTGGTGGCGCAGTGGTTAAGAATCCGTCTACCCATGCAGGGACATGGATTCGATCCCTGGTCCGGGAAGAACCCACACGTTGCAGAGCAACTAAGCCCATGCGCCACAACTACTGAGCCTGCACTCTAGAGCCAGTGAACCACAACTACTGAGCCCGCGTGCCACAACTACTGAAGCCCGTGCACCTAGAGCCCGTGCTCCGCAACAAGAGAAGCCACCGCAATGAGAAGCCCGTGCACCGCAACGAAGAGTAGTCCCCACTCACCGCAACTAGAGAAAAGCCCCAGCAACGAAGACCCAATGCAACCAAAAGATAAATAAATAAAATAAAATAGTTTTAAAACATTTTTTAAAAATGCCTCACAAAGTAGCCGCATAGCACAGGGAGATCAGCTCAGTGCTTTGTGACCCCCTAGAGGGGTGGGATAGGGAGGGTGGGAGGGAGGGAGACGCAAGAGGGAAGAGAAAGGGGAACATATGTATATGTATAACTGATTCACTTTGTTATAAAGCAGAAACTAACACACCATTATAAAGCAATTATACTCCAATAAAGATGTAAAAAATTTTTTTTAAATAAAAATAAATAAAAGAAACAAGTAAAAAAAAAAAAAAAAGCCTCACAATTGTATAAGTACCAATGGCAAGGTGTTTTACCTCAAAACTTTCAAAAAAACCTGGAGCACAAATATAAATGAAAATTAACATATTAATTATCAGTTGAAAAAATTTACTCTGTGATCACGAGTTATTATTCATCATTCAAGCATACTGCATAAAAGTTGGCAGAAATCCATTTATTCAAACCATCTTAGAAAAATACATTCATTAAAATAAAAATAGTATCCAAGAACCAGCTATTCCCAGATTTCGGTTCTGGCCAAAGCATCCAGATCTAATACTTGCACTCCTGTAATAGCCTCTCATTCTGACCCTGTGTGTTAAGAATACTACCTTCATCTCACGTTCCAAACAAACACCATCCAATCAATTCTTTGTGGCCAAAACCAGCCCAGACACAAGATAAAAATAAACAGACGGTAAGAACATGATCCCCACCACAACACACTCACCTATGGGAGAATATCAATTAGTAGGTATGTCTTTTAGCTTAAGGCCATTCACGAGAGGCTATTTTCTAATGTATAACTTCAGGATTTTCTTATTTACAAAGCTAATCAGGTAGGGTAAAGATTACTACAACTGAAATTTAACATATAACACTACAGTAAAAAAAAGTTGTTGATGTGAATGGGTGAAAAATGTGTGATGATGAAGGGATTCTAAATGATTTGATCCATTAGAGATCTTTCCCACGGTCTAAAGCAGGAGTTCTTAACCAGAGGTGATGCTGTAATACCCCCTCATCTACTAGGAAAACATTTGACAATGTCTGGGAACAGCTTTGATTGTCATAACTGAGAAGGTGCTACTGGTATCACGTAGAAAGAGTCCAGGCAGGGATAGTGCTAAACAGCCTACAATTCACAGGACATTCCCACAGAGATAATTACCTGGCCCAGAATGTTAGTAGTGCTAAGGTTAAGAAATTCTGATCTAAAGTATCAAAAACTGTATTACTTGGAATTCAATCAACCAAAACTTTCTGTTAAGTAGCAGTTCTTTATAATTATTATAAGAAGATATTTCAAGCTGATTTATTGCCACTGCAATAAATGATAAAATTATATTCAACCTATCTTTATCAGCATACCGCCAGAGTTTATTATTTTACATTTTGTCCTAATTGTTTAAAACTGATCATGTATAATATACAATTAATGCACATCATAATGTTCACGCACACTGGGTAACGTGAATTTACTGTATTTTACTGAGATGATATTCACCTATAACAATTCTGAGAACAGACGAAAATCAGAATTACCACAAACAACTTCTTCCCTGCATGATGATTTTAAACACGCCAAAAAAACTCAATGATCAGTTGTTAATGATAATACTAATCAAATTCACACATATCAAATGTTCCTTTTT